TTTTATAGTTCATCATGCTTTAAATGTGAAAAAAAGGAGATATAAAGTAAATGAGCATAAGATATAAAAGATTAATGGTGTTACAATGTATCCCAGCGATATGTTACTTCTAACCCCAAACCGATGTTGTCAAAATTTATATGAATATGTTTGGAACTACTTAAAAATATTAAAAAAACACATGCACATAACTTGAGAAATTGTATTTTAGATATAATAAAATGAAAATACAGTAAAAAGCATTTCATTTGAAAGTTTAAAGCAAAAAAGTGTAACAATGTAAATTTACACTTACGTGGCTTGTTTGAACACAATTCACATAACCTCTTTTACATGCAGCACACGCGCGATTGGTGGTATGAAGCAAACGCAGGCCTCGATACTGAGTATTTTTGTTCTTCACATGATCATTGTATCTCTTATCATTTAAAAGATATATGTATTGTTACAACTTACCTCCGTTACAACTGGCCCTAGTCTCCCCTACTTTTTGTACGTGTGTTTATGGTTTGATTAATTGTAGCAATTATGATTTATTTACAGGGACGTCCATCATCAACTATGCCTTACATCACGTAAACTCAACAAAGTGCTCATTATTCAAATGTTAATTCAAATGCTGTGTTACTTTAAAGTGACTATGAACTTACTTATCGATGCATATGCACTATCTATTACAGTGAACAAAATCGAATTTTGGACATTGTATAATGTTGTCATAAATTTGTCAAATATTTGGCATTTTATTGAGCCAAGCATCTTATTTCTTATACTGAATTATTTATGTCAAAGTATTTACAATAAGGTATGTACAAAATCAAATCATCACTAGTTATTTGTAAGTAAAATAATAGGCATAAACAACAATTTTACATGAATGAAGTTACATATGCATGTAATTTTTCCCAAATGACGTAATCTTATTCATTGAGTATAAAACTATCAAATTTACTACATATAATTTTATATGTAAAGACACATGGTAGTGTTTCGTCATATATATCAGGCCATAAACGTTATTACATATGTATATATATATATATATGTGCATGCCATTGCTAAATTCTGAACGATAGCACTAGTTATATCTCGAATTTCAAAATCGGCAAACTTTAGATTAAAATTATTCAAGAAACTAAAATCGCTATGAAAAATATAAAAACACCTTTATTGTTTGATATTATCGATATTTTTCGATTACAACCAATTTGAATAAAATTGGTGCGGCCGATACCATGGACCTAAGAATCTATGAACAGGGCATAAAGTGAGTTCGTAGGCAAGGAGGTTGCCAATTTGCTGTAAGGGGAGTGAGTGCGCTCTCCTTCTTTATCCGCTTAGCATCTCTTTCTACAAGAAGACCCCATCGGATGGGTAACGAAATTAACTGAAGACGTCTGAACGGTCCGAAGGTACTTACATACTCGAAAAAGAGCATTTTGACATTTTGAGGTTGCGTCTGCGTCCCCGTAAAAAAAAAACATGCCGACATGTATAATTCCTGTATAATTTTATATTAAATATATATTTACACTTTTCAAATTACCAATTAGAAGTATACGCGCACGCGCACGCACGCACGCACGCACGCACACACACACACACACACACACACACACACATATTTCGTACTTTAAGGTTAATGAATATCTAGTCTTTCGGGAATCATCGGTATGACGGAAACACCCGATGGAGTCCTATCTTAGAAAGAGATAGCGTTACACCCTCCTTACCGCGGATTAACCACCCGAACTGCCTAGTGCCCGTCCATAGATTCTTAGGTCCATGGCCGATACCAAGATCTGGAGATCGAGTAACAAAACAAGATCATTTTATACTTTCAGATATTTTCACATAGTCGTAATACATTTAATCACATTTCTATTAGTTCATTTTACGAATAATTTCCGTACTATAAAAACAAATTGACCTTAAAATATTGTATTTTAATGCGATCAGCTTTTCCTTCTTTATAACCCGATTGACAATTTTAGTTGCTTTGTTTACTTTATGCATCTTGCGTTACAGAATATTTGGCTAATTGTATTTATTTCATATCATTTTTTTATTAAGAAGTAAGAAGTAAGAAGAATGTAATATCCTGATATCTTTTATATGCACTAGGTATAGAATTACTCTGATTTAAGGAACTTATTATAGATGTAAGTCTCGAAATCAGAGTCTTAAGAGTTAAGGAGGTTAGGTTAAAGTTCAACTCAGACACGTGTTGATATAGTTAAATAACTGTAATTAAACATCCACTCATACAAATTAGACATACATTAAAATAACCAATTAAACCAGATAATCAATTTACACACCTGAATCGAACCACAAATGTCGATTGTACGCCTATATGCATATACTCTAGCATCCTAACATGCAATACTCTCGAGTGAAGCCTCTCGCTCCGAGGTTACAATGCCCCTCTTCAGCGGTGTAAATCACAACCAAGTTTGGCGGGAACGTTCAAATTTACATCCCCCCTTTTTCAGCCAGACTGCCAGGGACCACCGGTCCATACGGCACCAACTTACTTGCGTGAAATAAGTGTTAGGAAATAACTCAGGATGCCAAGGTGAATCAATGACTCAAATATCTTGCTTCTTCTTGTATTTTTCTCACGTCTCATGCGAGAGATCTTTTTCTGTTGTGTCGTTGCACATACGAGTTGGTTAGAATATACGCCGCTAGCGCTGCACCGTTTTTTCAAAATGAGACAATGTAACAAGCCGGTAAAACAGAAACGCGTACAAATGATCCATCCCGGCCACTTTGAAGTGTATCTTCAAAATAACTAAATAAACTTAATGTCTAAATTACACTGTAGTCGTAGTATCTAAATCGCAGATGTGAACTTACACTAAGTACATACAGACAACATAATAGCTACACGCAATAAGTAATATATCATTAATCAATTGGTAACACACAGATTTTGGGCAGTGAACGTTGGATAACGCCGGTTGTAGTTTTCAAAGAAACTACTTTTATTAGACCATCAGGGCCCGGATGAACCTCGTTAATTCTGCCCGTGCGCCATTTCAGAGGAGGCAGATTCTCGTCGCGAATCAATGCTAGTTTGCCTACTTGAATCTCGTTATTGCATGCAGTAGTTTTCCATTTGTTTCTTTGTTGCATTTGAGTAACATATTCTCGAGACCAGCGCTTCCAGAATGATTGCTGCATCTGAGTCAACAATTGATAACGATTAACGCGGTTTACTGGAACGTCCGTCACGGATGGTTCCGGCAATGACAGTAATGATGTTCCGATCAAAAAATGTCCGGGTGTCAGAACGTCTAGTTCGTCCGGAGAATTATTCAATGGACATAAAGGCCGTGAATTAAGAATGGCTTCAATTTGAACAATTACCGTATAAAGTTCCTCAAATGACAACAACGTGTCGTTAATGACTATTCTGAGATGAGTCTTTACCGCTTTCACGTTTGCTTCCCATAGTCCTCCCATATGAAGGGAGTGAGGTGGAAGAAATTTCCATGATATTCCTTGATTTGACGCAAAATCAGTGATTTTTGCTTGATGTTCAGGGTGTGATATGAATTCACCAAACTGTCGCAGCAGGTTGCTTGCACCCACAAAATTCTTTCCATTATCAGAGAGAATGGACTCGCATGGGCCTCGTCGAGAAATAAATCTTTTGAGCGCATTTAAGAACGTTTCCGTTGTGAGGTCAGAGACTAGCTCGAGATGTACCGCCTTAGTGGCCATGCAAACGAAAAGACACAGGTAAGCTTTACCCGATTTATTTCTCGAGAGTTTGATATTGAAAGGTCCGGCATAGTCGACACCGGTGTGACGAAAGGCTCGTGATGGAGTAACTCTGGACGCAGGCAGATCAATTATATTGAGCTACGTGGTCGTGATCGGAAACACAAAACGCATGTTTTGAGTATTCGCTTGATCGCATTTTTCGCGTGCACTATCCAGTAGGTCTCGCGGATAGCGGTCGATAACAATTGTGGTCCCATATGAAAGTGCTTTAAATGTAAGTCTCGTATAATTAAGTCTGTCAGAACACCTTTAGAAGGTAAGAAAATCGGATGTTTTTGTGTGTAGGAACATGGAGCATTTCTAAACCGGCCACCGACGCGGAGTACTCCCTCCTGATCGAGTATAGGGTTGAGCGAAAGGATTGGACTGTGTAAATCTACCGTATTGTTTTTTCGTAAGTGATGTAGTTCACAAGCGAAAACTTCTTGCTGATAACGTTTTATGAGTATAGTCATGGTCTTCTGTAGTTCGTCAGCCGTGAGTGGCCCAGAGAATCGCTGAGAGGCCGATTTGGACAACATACAATTCGTTTTGAATCTTATACAAGTTGCGATTACTCTCTTGAGCTTGGTCAACGATGAGTATCGATGCATGATGTCAAATGAATCTTCTTTGTGAAGTGCTGTAAACGACTGAGTGCGTGCCTCAGGTATGTCTGTCAAGAATTGCGTTGAAGACGTCGGCCATAACGGAGGATCAGTTTTCAGCCAAGGCGGTCCTACCCACCACATCGTAGCGTCAGGAAGCTGTTCGGGCATTAGTCCTCGCGAGATCAGATCAGCAGGGTTGTGCTCTGATCGTACATGAGCCCAATCTGATTGGTTTGTCAATCGTTGAATTTCCGCAATTCTATTGCCAACGAAGATTTGCCATTGTGAGGGCTGTCCTTGAATCCACGCCAATACAATTTCAGAATCTGTCCACAGATAATGCTTGGAGACTGTGCATGTAAGCGCTTGAGATATTCTATGAACGAGATTGGAAAGAAGTACAGCTCCGCATAGCTCAAGTCGCGGAAGTGTAATGGTCTTCAAGGGAGCTACACGTGACTTCGCTGCCAAGAGTTGTATGTAAATCGTTCCCATGTTGTCTATGGATCGGAGATAGACGCATGCGCCATAAGCGCTCTGGGAGGCGTCACAGAATCCGTGAAGTTGGATGTCCTTTGGGCTGTGTAAAATAGCGTGCCGCGGAATCGCGATTTGGTTGATAATTGGTAGTTGCTGAAAATATGACAACCATACGATCCGAAGCGTCTCTGGTATAGGTGTATCCCAGTCTATTTTCAATTGCCAAAGCGACTGCATTAGAATTTTCGCTTTAATAGTAGTTGGGCCAATTAGACCTAACGGGTCGAATATTTGCGTGATCAGCGACAACGTGATCCGTTTGGTGATGGTTTCTGGCATAGCGATACAAGTTACTTCGTACCGTAGCAGATCCGTCGTTGACTGCCATAGTAATCCTAAGACCTTTGCATCCGTTATTTCGTAGTGGTCTAGGCACTCATCCTGATCGAGTGAGACGTTTGAACGAAATTTGGACAACTCGAATCCTGCGGTCTTCAATATGTCGGTAACCTGAGTTTTAAGTTCGTGCAGTTGTACCGAGGCCGCTCCCGTAATCATATCATCGACGTAGAAGTCGCGGGCAATGACGGCTGCTGCACGGGGGTGTGTTTTCTCATGGTCTACCGATAACTGTTGTAGTGATCTTATGGCTAAAAACGGTGATGAAGCCACTCTATATGTAACAGTATTTAAACTGTATGTCGTGGGTGGATCCTCTGGATTGGATCTCCACAGTATGCACTGATGCACTCGATGTTCTGGCTTTATGTTGATTTGTCTGTACATCTTGACGATGTCACCCACCAAGACATAAGGATGTTCTCGAAAGCGTATGATGATTTCGAATAGTTCCGACTGTATTGTCGGTCCCACTAGCAGACAATCATTGAGTGATTTGCCAGACGTCGTTGGATTAGAAGCGTCAAAAACAACTCTAAGTTTCGTTGAGATTGAAAACTCTTTTGTCACCGCATGGTGAGGCAAATAGTTAATCTTCTGGTTGTGTGTGTCAGTAACTGACAAAGCAGACATATGACCAAGATCGATGTAGTCATCCATGAACTTGCCATATCGCGTTTGCAGTTGGTGATCCCTTAGGAATTTATGTTCCATGCTGCGTAATCGTCGTAACGCATTCGCTCGGGAATCGCCCAATGTGCTTATAGGGTCCTCACGAAATAGCAGTGGAACTTCGAATCGCCCGTCTTGAGTTCGGCGATATTCTTTCTGGAAAATATCTTCGCACATAGATTCTTCCTTGGATAAGAGTCTTGTATTAGACATATCCTCGATGCGCCAAAATCTTTCGATTTGTGCCTGCAGTTCCTCGCTTTGTACAAATCCACATATAGAAACGTTATTGTGTGACGATGCATTGATTGGCGGTCTGATCTGTCCACACAACAACCAACCTAGTTTTGTGGATTGTAGCATTGGTTGCTTAGCTCCTAGTTGAATTCTGTCCGTTTCCAAGATGTCCCAGAATATCTCTCATGTTAATGGGTTTGGTAGGGATAGGACGTGTGATTTGATCAACAACAAATAGGTTAACGTCCGTCTCGTAAGTCGTGTTAGAAGAGACTATTGTAGTCCGTACTGTTTCCGTGATTTGCGTTTCCGTCACATTTAGACATGAAATTAAATGCTTCGTTATACTTGTCTTAAGACCTAATTTCTGACATGTTGTTTTAGCGATAAAATTCGACTGCGAGCCATTATCCAACAATGCACGCACTTTATGAAAATTACCGGCATCATCGCGGATATACAGAACAGCTGTTGACAACAGAACTTCTGGTTTAAGTTTGTTAGATCCGACCGTCTTCATGGAGACCGACGTCGTAGCCGGCGTCTCGCATGCCTGAGTCTTCACATTGGAATCAATTGAACTTGCGGATGCATTGTTAGACAATACTGCGTTCTGAGTATCATCGCTAGATCGCTCGTTCAAATGAAGCAGAGAGTGGTGTCTCTTTGAACAATGTTTGCAATTTCGTGACGTGCATTTTTGTGATAAGTGATTTGAACCTAGACAATTGTAACATAGATTAAGCCTTTTAGTTTCAGCTCGTCGAGACTCTATGGTTAAATCTTTGAAGATTTTACAAGCATGCAGTCGATGCATCTGTTTGCAGAGAGGACACTCACCTGTTTCGTTCGTAGCTATACATGCTACAGTCGCATTTTTACCTTTGTTTACGTTTGTTTTCTGTGTCGCCGCCTTTACAAGATTGTTCGTTACCTGCGCAGGGCGAAGAGCTTCAAGGTATTCGCATCGTGTATTAATGAATTCAATCAATTGTGTAGTAGTCGACAGCTTGTCCTGAACGACCTTCAATTCCCACTCTTTCCTTGTCACTGAATCCAACTTGCTAGTGAACAAATAAATTATAAGAGTATCTCACTTATCTACAGGTTCTTTCAATTGTTGCAACACTCGCAAGTGTTTCTGAAAATTGTCCAGCAACGCTCGCAATAACTCTGCAGATTCTTTCGGTATTGGAGGTGTACTAAATAACTCGTGAATATGATGATGTATAGTCAAACGCAGATTAGAGAATCTGTTAGTTAATAACTCTAATGCTATATCATAATTCTCATTAGTTGTTTGCAATGACTCTATTACTTGAGATGCGGAACCTGACAGAGCAGATTTCAAATAGTAAAACTTCTGAACCGCGGTGAGGTTAGGATTGTCATGAACCAATGCTCTGAAAGTGTCATTAAATTGTTGCCACTGTTCATAACTTCCGCTGAAATTCGGCAGAGTTATTACAGGCAATCGCACCGTTTTATTATTTATCGCGTTTGGCGCATCTTGAACATGTTGTTCTGCTTGATGGACGGAACGAGACTCTACTCTGTTAACACTGTGTTGTACGAGTTTCGATCGCGCCGCAGCTTGCACTGTAAAAAATGCTTCCTCAAATCTCTCGCGATCTGTGACGTCAGAGTCGGAAAGAATCGCGTCGATCTTTGTTTGTAATACGTGATACTCATGCCACAAGTCGTTATATTTTTCTAACCTTACTTCTAATATTAAGCGATTTTCAAAGCTATCTTGGTAATTTTCTAAGAAGGTTTTGAACCTGGTAGCGCGAGCCTTGAGCGTCGTTCGTTGACGTTTCAATTCGTCTATCGTTTCCATCGTATCTACGCTTATAATCTAACCTACCGGTGTACAAAATGATTGTCGACAATATCGTAGTATACGAGTACGTTGTTGTAGCAGCGTCGTGTTGCGCATGCGTAGTAGCCTTTACCAACAATGGCGTCGTTTGGTCGTTATCGTCGAAGATGACGGAAAAAAATGTCGAGTATCTCCTTTCCAGCGTATTCCTCAGCTCTCGTTGTTGAGCGTCGACGGTGTGGACGGAGGATGCCTCAATCGTATCAACCTTCAGCTAAAGCGTCTCGTACCTGCCGAAAGCCAATATCGTTCCCTTTCCTTTGGTAGCCGTTCTTTGTCAGCGTATTGAGACTTAGAACGCTCGAGTCACTGATATTTGAGCTCTAAACACCTCGTTGTCGTTACATCCGGCTCGAAGGACCAAAAATTTGTTAGGAAATAACTCAGGATGCCAAGGTGAATCAATGACTCAAATATCTTGCTTCTTCTTGTATTTTTCTCACGTCTCATGCGAGAGATCTTTTTCTGTTGTGTCGTTGCACATACGAGTTGGTTAGAATATACGCCGCTAGCGCTGCACCGTTTTTTCAAAATGAGACAATGTAACAAGCCGGTAAAACAGAAACGCGTACAAATGATCCATCCCGGCCACTTCGCTGCACCGTTTTTTCAAAATGAGACAATGTAACAAGCCGGTAAAACAGAAACGCGTACAAATTATCCAATAAGTTAGATTCATTTTTCTTGAATCCACTATCAATTACATATATCACATTTGATAACTTTTTTTTATTTTATACGGACCTGTTCTAACCATATCTAATTTGTTCCTACTCAGTTTATTGCCATTCTGCACATAAGCCAGATCTCCTACTTCGTATTCAATATTTTTCACATTTTTATCATAATAATTTTTATTTGGTTCATGAGTCTTCTTTGAATTTTCATATGCTCTCAGTCTGTTTTCTTCCAGGTTCTTCTCATTTATCTCCAGTTCTTCCGGTAAAATTGAATTATCCTTTCCTGTTAATAAATAATTAGGAGTAAATCCTGTTGAACTATGTATCGTGTTGTTATATTCTTCAATACATTCCGCTGCTATGACTGGCCATGAGCGTTTCTTGTCATTGTATATTTTACACCTTATCCTGTTAACCAGTGTTTGATTGGTTCTCTCGTTCATCCCATTGGAAAAAGCACAGTCAACTGCGGTGAATATTAATCGTATATCTTTGGTGTTTATATATTGTTTAAAATCTTTCGAATTAATACCTGCATACTGGTCTGTTAACAAAATCTTTATTTTTCCATTGTTTTCCACTTTTTCCACTAATTTCACAAAGTCTTTTGAAACTTGTGTTTTGGACGTAGCTATGAATGCATACCTTGTAAAGTGATCAATGATCAAATGTAAATATGTTTTCATGCTTCTATTACCTCCAAATCCGCCTATCGTATCCAGTGACACAATTTCCATAGGCTCTTCAGCCGGCCCCAATTGTGATAGGGGAGCTTTAAATTTGCCCATTCTAGTTTTATTTTTAATACAGGTCTCACAGAAACGGCAGACATTCTTAATGTGTTTATACATGTTTTTAAAATAAAATTTGTGTCCTATCATTAATGTTAGTTGTTTTGTTCCTATGTGACCTAGTTTTTCGTCGGTCTTTGATATTAGTGTAGCACCAAATTCTTCGGTTAACCATATTTTCTTCCTTTCAGCGTTCTGTAAATTACTTTATTTTCCGTCTCATAATTACCATCTAATTTTTATGATTTCTGATTTTCAATTATTTCTTCCACTTTTAGAAAATTTGCTGTTTTTATTATTGATTCTGCTTCTTCTGTATCTCTTGATTCCAGTACTGGGTTTCGTGATAAGCAGTCTGTTTCTACATTGTCCTTACCCGGATTATATACTATTTCAAATTCAAATTGGGAAATGTAGTTCAAAAGTTGTAGTAATTCTTGATTATTACATTTTTTTATATTGAAGTTTTCTAACGGTTTATGATCCATAAATATTATAAATTTTTGACCAATCAGATAATACTGCCAATACAATATTGCTTCTTTTATAGCCACGCATTCGATAAAAATTGCCCTTTTTAGTTTTTGTGATTTTGTCAATTTGCGCGAAAAATAAAATACTGGTTTCAGTGATTTATCCTCTTAAGGTTGTTTCAATACCGCTCCCACTCCATCTAAGCATGCATCGGTGTAAATGTATATAGGTGCTGCTGGGTTGAAAATTGCCAAAATTGGAGTCGAACATAAATATTCTTTCACTCTTTTAAAATTCACTTGACATCTTTCAGACCAGTTAAATTCTACGTTTTTTCTCAACAGATTGTAAAAAGGTTCTAATAGCGTTGAGTGTCTTGGAATATATTCAATATAAAAATTTATCTTACCTAAAAATTGCCTTATCTGTTTCCTTGACTTGGGAGCAGGGAAATTTTCAATTGATATTAGGTTGTCATTCACAGGCTTTATACAATTATCGCCTATCACATGACCCAAGTATGTTGTTTCCTTTTGTGCAAGTTTACACTTTGGTAAATTTAATTTAAAATTTTGTTCTTGTAGTGCTTTCACCGTTAATTCAATATGTTTCACGTGATCCTTGTAATTCTCAGAATATATTAAAATATCATCGATATAATTTATCACAAACGCATCCAATTTATTCCTTCTTATCACACTAGATAATATTCTTTGAAAAATGGCCGGTGAGGATTTCAATCCAAACGGTAGACACGACCATTGCCAGTGACCATGATGCGTCACAAACGCTGTCTTGTATCTGTCCTTGTTACGCAATGGAATGGACCAAAACGCCGAGTTCACGTCTAATTTTGAAAAATATTTACAGTTTCTTGCGCGTAGTGTTAAATCTTCAATCCTAGGAAACGGTTGACTTTCCGGCACTACTATGTTCAGTTCCCTATAATCCACACACAGGCGTGACTTTCTTCCTTCTTCCTTTTTATAAACTAATGTGACTGGAGCGGCGTATGGGCTACATGATTCTTCTATCAACCCCGCTTTTAGCAGCTCTCTAATTTGATTTTTTATTTCTATCTTATCTTGAATTGAGCATTTGTATGGTTTTTTTGCTACATATTTATTTTCGGTTAATTTTATTGTTGCTTTATAGTCTTTAACTATACCGATGTCAAATTTTCCTTTGGCAAAAATTTTTTTATATTCATCTAATATATCTTGAATCTTCTCTCTTGCATGATTACTAGGATCCCTCGACGAATTCATATTTGCTATAAGTGTTTCTTCCATCTTCTTATTATTTTGTGATATTTTTAAGTTTTCATCTTGGCACAGTTTAAATTCCGTTATACAGTCTAGCCCTAATAACAGATCCTTTGTAAATGATTTGCTTTTGACTATAAAAAATAAAAATTTCTTTTCTATATTCCATATTTTCACCGGAAGAGTAATGCTACCCTCGGACTTTGAAGCTCCTGAAATTGTTTTTATATTCTCACCCCCACTTATTATCTTCTTGTCTATTTTAAGTCTTTTCCAGAATTCATAATTCATCAGGGAAATATTAGCTGCGGAATCATAAACGCCAATTGCCGGTCTATTTCCAATTAGTATTCTTAGTTTAATAAGTGGGGAGACTATACGTTTTTTGCTTCTTCAGTTTGAGAGATGGCTTCTTGAACTTCCGTATTATTTGCCACCTTGATTTTCTCATTTTTATTCCACTTCAATGTTTGATCTTTTGACCTACAGAATTTCTCTGGATGAAATCTGTTTGGGTAACCCAACTTTTCGCAATGTTGACATGGTTCATATTTTGTTTGTCTCTTCCTCTTCTCTTCATCATCACGTTGTTTCGATTTTTGATTGGTATTTAACCTATTATTTGTATGACCCATCCATTTCAATTTAGACATTAAAGCTTCCATATTTATCATATTTTTTTCATCTAACTTATCCTGAATGAATTTAGGTAAGCCGACAATTATAAAATTTATCTGTGAGTTTATAGTAAGTTCTGGATCCGCTTCCATCAATAAACTTCTCTTTTTCATTGCAAATTCCAAGAGTGATCCATTTAAATATTTGAAATTGTATGCATATGTAATATCCGTCCACGACCTTCCCCCAAATGTGTCCACAAAGGAATTATTCCAAAATTCCCAGGGGTATGATAAGGAATTGGTCTTTAAGAAATTCATAAACCAATCCAGAGCGGGGCCCTCTAAAAATAGTTTCATAGCCTCGGAGTATTTTGTTTCTGGTATTTCCAATCGTTGACATTCCTGTACAAACAATTTTAACCAAGATTTAGCATTCATTTTATCCCCGTTGAATTTTTCAATCACCATATTTTTAGTAATTGTACTCATGGGTTTTTCTTTCGAAATCACTGCCGGAGTAGCCGGCTGCATGACATCAGAGGTTATGTTTGTGGCCTCTTCTAAGTACATATCATTAAACATAATATTACCTTCGTCATCTAAATAGATTGCTTGCAGCTCATCAGAGAGCGTAATTACCACATTACGATATTTATTTCGAGAGGTTAAACTTTTAACCACTCTCTGCACCACCGATGTTTGAAAAAGCTTGACATGGTGTGCGCTTGTTTGTTCGTGGGGAGAAAACAAAAACTTTTCCGGTTGATCTATTAGTTGAATCGTTTTCACTTTAACCACTGTCGTCCGGACATCTGCCGCCTCCGAGACGAAGTGAAACCTTGCCTGGATCCCTGCCATACTGGTATTGACTGCGGTGATTTATAAGTCTCGAAATCAGAGTCTTAAGAGTTAAGGAGGTTAGGTTAAAGTTCAACTCAGACACGTGTTGATATAGTTAAATAACTGTAATTAAACATCCACGCATACAAATTAGACATACATTAAAATAACCAATTAAACCAGATAATCAATTTACACACCTGAATCGAACCACAAATGTCGATTGTACGCCTATATGCATACTCTAGCATCCTAACATGCAATACTCTCGAGTGAAGCCTCCCGCTC